CTCGACCGGGTCTAAAACCAGCCTGGTTCTCACGCGTGCACCGTTCGCGTGCGGCAGACAGTCGGCGGAGTATGATGCCAGCGAGAAGTTTAGAGACGATGTTAATTAAACTAATTCCTCTATGATTTTCACAAGAGGATCTATCACCTTTCTTGTAAATCGGTATGATCACCGACTCACACCATTCAGCTGGAACCTCCTCTCTTTCCCATATTGAGCCCAGGAGTTTTGTCAACTCCAAGACTAACGCTGAGCCTCCATCCTTAAACGCAGATGGAAACAGCCCATCTGGGCCAGAGGCCTTATGCCTTTTGAGATAACTTATTTCCCGAGATACCTCCATTTCAGATGGAGGACTAGCATCAACTGGGAGTATTTGTCCAGTCGAGGCGGAGAATGAAAGATAAGGTGTCGATGGGGGCCAGTTGAACTGAACCTTGAAATGTTCAGCCCAACGGTCAAGACGGCGTTGCTGATCGTGAATCAGTGTGCAATCGGATTCCTTAATTACCTCACTTACGCCTATTTTCCTAGAACCCGTATTCCTAATTAGATGGAAAAGGTTACGACTATCACCAATAGCCGCAGCTTTCTCCATCTCTTTGCACTTTTCTACCCACCACTTCTCGCGGTCATTCCTCAGACTCTTGATGAGCTGGCGTTTAAGGGATTTGCGCGCTGTGTCGTATGTGGTATCCGGAGGAAGGGTTCTGCGGGCTTCCAGCAGGGCAACCGAGATCGACGATATCCATCGTTTGTGTTTTGAGCTTGTGGCAGGGTCCGACGTTGTTTTTATTGATATCTGCATAGCTTCCTTGACTTGCTTCCAGTGTTCATTGGGTCCTTCGGCTGGCGGTTGAATTGACAGGCGATCGGAGAGCTCCACTTTGAAGGCCGATTTGCATGAATCACTGACACTGTATCGCGGATATCCGTTGTCGGTGGCTTTTTTTCATGGAAGAATAATCCGGTAGATTTGCTGGGTACAAATCCATGCGGTTGAGGATCAAAACGGAGGAATTTGAACGAGGAAGCCTGCTTCCTCTACGTTAGCCCTGTCTCCTCCTAATAACTTATCAGTCAAACTCTCTCTCTCTGAAGTTGTAGAAAGTTTTAGGAACTGCTTTCAAACTATCTTCCATACATCACACCGCTTCTTCTCATATTCATCATCATTTATTGGTAACTTGAAGCAGCTCACACTATCAATCAAAAAAGTTTAACGCCATCTATAATAGCTTAGCACCCCTGATTTTGGCTCTACGATAGTCATCTGGAAAACAAGGAGGCAGTTATATACCTGATCATTTATTTTGCAGTCTTTTCCTTAGTGTGTAGACGCTGACAACTTTCTTGTACAGTTAAAAAGCCACACGAAAGGAATTAGACGACTTTTCGAGACCTCCAGACAAATTATTCTTATAAACATTCCATCTAAAGTCTGAGTGTATTTTGAAACACCGTATTGCATAACACCTAGCCTCCGAAAGCCTCAGTGGTGGTGGTGGCGTAGTGGTTTAGACGCTGTCACAGGCGTGCTTTGGACCCTATGGTCCGAGGTTCGAGCCCCGCCACCGCCAACCGACTTTGGTGATAGGCAGCTTTGCTGTCGTCCGGTTCAATACTACACCTAAACCTATCGGGGCCTTATGTGTTTCACCACTCCAAGTGCCGGGGTTTAGGTTACCGGTTTCCATCACTGAACAGATCCTCGTGACTATGGGGTTTATCCCGTCGAATGTTCATCACACGAAAGTGTGTAATAAAAAAAAGTAAGGTTGTGGGTGGGTGTCTCGGGTTACGGCTGGTCACCCCTTCCTTGCATATCGCAAAACGCTCCTATACCACCAAGCGTTTCAAATAGCTTCTGATGAGGAAGTCCTGTTAATTGTATCTTCGTGGCTGGTGTTGTTCCCACCAAGGAGTACGCCGATGATATTGCCTTACTGGGTGACAACGCAACAACGATTCAAGAGTCATTGAACCGTTTGGCAATTGAGGTTACTCGTTATGGTATGTCATTTGCACCTTCAAAGTGCAGTGTTGTTACAAGACTGGCAGGAACCCATCCCTGAACTTTATTTGGATACTGACACTCTGGAAGTAGTCGAAAGCTTTGTCTACCTTAAGAGTTGCATGACAGCTGACGGAGGTGTGGGCGAGGAGATCTCTCAACGCATGATCAAAGCTAGATTAGCATTCGCTAATCTGCGGCATCTCTGACGCCGGCGCGATATATCCCTTTCACTGAAAGGACGTATGTATTGCGCAACGGTACGCACCGTGTTGCTCTATGGCTGCGAGACCTGGCCTGTCCGAGCAGATCACGTCCACCAGCTATCAGTCTTCGACAACCGCTGTCTGCGCAACATTGCCCGCGTATGGTGAGAGCACCGCGTGAATAACGATGAAGTCAGACGACGGGTGCTGGGACCAGATAGTCTTCCTCTGGGCAAAATAATTTCACAGCATCGTCTTAGGTGGCTAGGGCACGTCCTACGAATGCCTGAGCACCGTCTGCTATACCGTGCACTATTCGCAGACGTTGGTCCAGGCTGGAAGAAGCAACGAGGTGGGCAGGCTATGACGTGGCGCAGAGGGTTAAAGAGATTGTGCTCGGATCTGGCTTCCGTTGGGGTTTTCCGGCTCCCCGGCTGGGGCCCCAAAGATTCAGATTGTCTTTGGCTGGAGACACTGCGGGATATGGCACCGAACCGAAGTCAGTGGCGCGCATGTGTCCTCTCTTGTTTGCAATCCCAAAAGTAAATAAAAACGAAAAAAACTCAAAATGGCATGCAGTAAACAAACAAAAAAATTGTTACTCCCCGAAAGTTGACTGTTTTGTTATCCCCGTTTTCTTACCTGCATTTTTTTCGTTCACCCATGGCTATTT